TGACACTTGTCAGATTTCTGGTATAACGTGGTGGTTTCAGAGAAACTCTGTCAGTACATCCCACTATGCATTACAAGCTTTCTCTCCATAGACTGTCAAAGACATGACATGTGCTGGGTGATGTCTTTAATAATGACGTTTAAAAAAAGTATTTCTATACCGCTAAGGCTGGATTTATCATTTGGTATAGTAGTCTTGTGCTTGATGGGAACAGCAGCAAAGTAATGGCCTTTGCCTGTACAGTTAACTGCATTTTTTGCCAGCACTGATCATTTGATAAAGCACTCATATGGTGCAGCACCCAGGTTTGGGGAACTCTTGGGGCACATAACAGCCATTGCGCCTAGCCAGTGATGACGGACATTGGGCTAATTGGCACATTCAAAAGCAAGGTTTAGCCACATAGCACTAATATACAGTATATGTACAGGTGAAACTCAAATAATTAGAATATCATGCAAAAGTTCAATTATTTCAATAATGCAACTTAAAAGGTGAAACGAATATATGTGGGCCAACTCAATATTGAACCCTACAGACTAAGACTGGGATGCCATTACAGTTCATGTGCGTGTAAAAGCCGGCGTCCCTATACTTTTGGCAATATAGTGTATAACTGACTCATCCTGGTTCACATAACACTGATATTTTAAAGAAAAAAATACTCTCCGTAAGGACTTTCCTACCATCTCTGATGACAGGGTTACAGATCTAAATCTAGGTGTACATCTCCGTTTCTAAGCAGGGATGAGCAGAGTGAATTTGTTGAAATTAATGTACCCATAAATTACCAATTTGGCTGTGTGTTTTTTTGTTCAGCCTGCTGAAAAAAATAGACACATATTCCACCAAATTCAATGAGCATTTTTTTTATTATTATACAGTATTTATAAAGTGCCAACAGTTCGCTCAGCGCTGTACATTACAATGGGAGACAGAACATGCGACAGTACAATAACAATACAATGCGATACACGAGGGGTTCGAGGGCCCTACTCCTTGGAGCTTACAATCTAGGAGGGAGGGGATGGTGGCACAGGAGGAGATAGCTGTGGGGGATGGAGTGGTAGGAAGAGTGGAGGAGGTCAGGAATTAGCAGGGGGTGGGGTAGGCTATCCTGAAGAGATGGGTTTTCAGGGTGCGCCTAAAGGAGAGTAGGTGATAGTCTGATGGATTGGGGTAGGGAGTTCCAGAGTATGGGTGACGCCCTGAAGAAGTCCTGGAGGCGGACATGGGAGGAGAAGACTAGGGAACTAGAGAGAAGGAGGTCTTGTGAGGAGTGGAGAGTGCGTGTAGGGTGGTACTTGGATATTAGGTTGGTGATGTAATTTGGGGCAGTATGGTGGACAGCTTTGTACGTCAGTGTTAGGATTTTGACTTTGATCCATTGGGCAATCGGAAGCCAAGGGAGGGATTGGCAGAGGGGGGTGGCGGAAACGGAGCAGTTGGTAAGGTGGATGAGTCTGGCTGCCGTATTCAGGATCGACTGAAGCGGGGATAGCCAGCGGCGAGGCAGGCCAGTGAGGAGGGAGTTGCAGTATTCGAGTCGTGATATGATGAGGTAGTGGATGAGCTGTTTAGTGGTTTCTGGGGTTAGGAACGTGCGGATTTTGGCGATGTTGCGGAGGTGGAGTCTGCATGAGTTTGTTAGTGATTGGACTTGGGGTTGGAAGGATAGGTTGGAGTCCAGAATGACACCAAGTACTCTGGCCTGCGGGGCGGGTCTGATGGTGGCATTGTTGGACGTGATGAAAAGTCAGTGGGGGGTGGTGTGCGGGCTGGGAGGAAGACTAGGAACTTGGTTTTTGATAGGTTCAGTTTAAGGAAGTGGAGCGACATCCAATCTGATATGCCATTCAGTAGGCTTGTGATTCGGGCAGAGACTGAGGGGGTGAGGCAAGGGGTCGAGAGATAGATTTGCGTGTCGTCGGCATAGAGGTGGTAGTTGAAGCCGTGAGAGTGTATGAGATGGCCAAGGGAGGAGGTGTAGATGGAGAAGAGAAGAGGCCCAAGGGCAGAGCCTTGAGGGACCCCAACAGAGAGGGGGAGTGAGGGGGGAGGTGGTAGCGTTAATAGGTAACGCTGAAGGAGCGTTGTGATAGGTAGGACAAGAGCCAGGAGTATGAACTTTTGCACGATATTCTAATTTTTCGAGTTTCACCTGTATATAAGAGCGGAGTAGGAGGCTTAAAACTGGGTGAGGAACAGTCAAACTCTGCAAGGCTGTGGAAAGCAGTTTAATTTCACAGGTAATACACCATGGCAAGACTGAGAAAAGCAACAAACTACAAGGTAGTTATTCTGCATCAGCAAGGTGTCTCCCAGGCTGCAGCCACTGATCGGGGTATTCTAAAAGTGCCCCTTGCCAGAATACAATTTTTGGCATTCATAAAAACTGGTGCAAAGTGCGCCAAATTCATGTATCTGTCCAGAATTTGTACTTTAATTCGACACATGCTGTGCCTCTTTTTTGAATACACATAAGAGACTTCTGCAATTTGTCTCTGCCTGCTTCTCTCTCTGTGACCAAAAGAGTTGTTCTTAATCAATTCCACTTTTGTAAAATATGAACTTTATTTTCCCTACACTCCACCGAAACTGCCCTACTCAAACTTTCCAACGACCTGCTAACCGCCAAAGCTAATGGCCACTATTCAGTGCTCCTACTCCTTGACCTCTCTGCGGCCTTCGACAGTCGACCACCCCCTCCTCCTCAAAAAAGTACACTCCCTCGGCCTCAGAGATTCTGCTCTCTCCTGGCTCTCATCCTACCTGTCACAACGCTCCTTCAGCGTTACCTATAATGCTACCACCTCCCCCTCACTCCCCCTCTCTGTTGGGGTCCCTCAAGGCTCTGTCCTCGGGCCCTTCTCTTCTCCATATATACCTCCTCCCTTGGTCAACTCATACACTCTCACGGCTTCAACTAGCACCTCTATGCCGACGACACACAAATCTATCTCTCAACCCCCCACCTCACCCCCTTGGTCTCAGCCCGAATCACACACCTACTGAGCGACATAGACTGGATGTCGCTCCACTTCCTTAAATTGAACCTCTCCAAAACCGAGTTTCTTGTCTTCCCCCCAGCCCGGACACCACCCCCCATTGACTTCTCTATCACATCGAACAACGCCACCATCAAACCCGCCCTGCAGGCCAGAGTACTTGGTGTCATTCTGGACTCCAACCTATCCTTTCAGCCCCAAGTCCAATCTTTAACAAACTTGTGCAGACTCCACCTCCGCAACATCGCCAAAATACGCACGTTCCTAACCCCAGAAACCACTAAACAACTCATCCACTCCCTCATCATATCACGACTCGACTACTGCAACTCCCTCCTCACTGGCCTGCCTCGCCGCTGGCTATCCCCGCTTCAGTGGATCCTGAATACGGCTGCCAGACTCATTCACCTTTCCAACCGCTCCATCCCCGCCACCCCCTCTGCCAATCCCTCCCTTGGCTTCCGATTGCGCAACGGATCAAATTCAAAATCCTAACACTGACGTACAAAGCCGTCCACCATACTGCCCTGAACTACATCTCTGACCTAATATCCAAGTACCGCCCAGCACGCACACTCCACTCCTCACAAGACCTCCTTCTCTCTAGTTCCCTGGTCTCCTCCTCCCATGCCCGCCTCCAGGACTTCTCCAGGGTGTCACCCATCCTCTGGAACTCCCTGCCCCAACCCATCAGGTTATCACCTACTCTCCTCTCCTTTAGGCGCACCCTGAAAACCCATCTCTTCAGGGAAGCCTACCCCACCCCCTGCTAACTTGCCGACCTCCTCCACTCTTCCTACCACTCCATCCCCCACAGCTATCTCCTCCTGTGCCACTATCCCCTCCCTCCTAGATTGTAAGCTCAAAAGAGCAGGGCCCTCAATCCCCTCATGTTTTGCATTGTATTGTTATTGTTCTGTCACATGTTCTGTCCCCCTCTGTAATGTACAGCGCTGAGCGAACTATTGACACTTTATAAATACTGTATAATAATAATAATTTTGAATTTGGCGCATTCATTGAGGTACAATGTAGACATGGCCCATTTAAAAACTAGTCACAAATGCTCAATGAATTTGGTGGAATATGTGTCTATTTTTTTCAGCAGGCTGAACAAAAAAACACACAGCCAAATTGGTAATTTATGGCTAAATTAATTTCGACAAATTCACTCTGCTCATCCCTGCTTAGAAACGGAGATGTACGCCTAGATTTAGATCTGTAACCCTGTCATCAGAGATGGTAGGAAAGTCCTTATGGAGAGTCTTTTCTTTATATTAGTGTTATGTGCGCCAGGATGAGTCAATTCTACACTATATTGCCAAAAGTATTGGGACACCTGCCTTTACACGCACATGAACTTTAATGGCATCCCAGTCTTAGTCTGTAGGGTTCAATATTGAGTTGGCCCACCCTTTGCAGCTATAACAGCTTCAACTCTTCTGGGAAGGCTGTCCACAAGGTTTAGAAGTGTGTCTATGGGAATAGTTGACATTTCATCCAGAAGCACATTTGTGAGGTCTGGCACCGATGTTGGACGAGAAGGTCTGGCTCGCAGTCTCCCGCTCTAATTCATCCCAAAGGTGTTCTATCGAGTTGAGGTCAGGACTCTGTGCAGGCCAGTCAAGTTCCTCCACCCCAAACTCGCTCATCCATGTCTTTAAGGAACTTGCTTTGTGCACTGGTGTGCAGTCATGTTGGAACAGGAAGGGGCCATCCCCAAATCATTCCCACAAAGTTGGGAGCAAGAAATGTCCAAAATGTCTTGGTATGCTGACACATTAAGCATTCCCTTCAATAGAACTAAGGGGCCAAGTCCAACCCCTGAGAAACAACCTCACACCATTATCCCCCCTCCACCAAACTTTACACTTGGCACAATGCAGTCAGGCAAGTACCGTTCTCCTGGCAACTGCCAAACCCAGACACGTCCATCAGATTGCCTGACAGAGAAGCGTGATTCGTCGCTCCAGAGAACACATCTCCACTGCTCTAGAGTCCCGTGTGGCGGCGTGCTTTACACCACTGCATCCGATGCTTTGCATTGCACTTGGTGATGTAAGGTTTGGATGCAGCTGCTCGGCCATGGAAACCCATTCCATGAAGCTTGCTATGCACTGTTGTTGTGCTAATCTGAAGGCTACATGAAGTTTGGAGGTCTTTTGCTACTGACCCTGCAGACAGTTGGTGACTTCTGCACACTGTGAGCTTCAGCATGCTCTGACCCCGCTCTGTCATTTTATGTGGCCTACCACTTCGTGGCTGAGTTGCTGTTGTTCCCAGTTGCTTCCACTTTGTTATAATACCACTAACAGTTGACCGTGGAATATTTAGTAGCTAGGACATTTCACGGATGGACTTATTGTACAGGTGGAAACCTATCATGTTACCACGCTTGAATTTTCTGCTTGCTTTTATACACCTGTGGCCATGGAGGTGATTGGAACACCTGAATCCAATGATTTGGGTGTCCCAATACTTTTAGCAACATAGTGTATATTAGCTTTAATGCTTTTTTTGAAATGCTTACTCTTTTTCCAAAATATCATATGGCTGTTTAGTAACCAAACATATTTGAAAATGTTCTATACCTTTTTTTTTTTTTATTACAACTCTTCGCTTCATTAGTGCTTGCCATACAAAGATTGCCACTTAGTGCAATTGGGACTATGCTGTACAAGTGACATAATCTGTCTATTGTTTTTGGTGGCTCTTTATTGCCACCTAAAGCCTACAAACAGTACTGCAGCTATATAACCTGGCATATTATTATTAATATATATATATATAGTATTATAGACATCAGAACTAGTGTCCCCATTGGAAGATTTCTGCTCTGTTCCTGTTCTGGTGACAACCCAAAATTTGTGATATTTTTTTTTCACTTTCACTCTGGATGGGAACAGTAAACAGGGAAAATAGGATGAATCTCCCTAACAGCATAGGCAGCAATAAAAAGTTTTGTCTTTAGTTATACTTAAAACTTGGTCAGTGAATAAACCACATTAGAGGCTGCACTGTAACCTGATAGACTTCTGACAGTGAGAAACTGCAACCATGCATGCAGAACTACAATGGAATCATCCACTGGCTTCTAATACTTTCAGGGACCAGGCAGCAGGATCTCTACAGCTGAATTCCAGGTCTGAGAGTCGGCCAATACAGTGTAGTCTCATTCGACCTGTTGGATTGTTCATTTCCAGCTAGCAGCTGGAGAACGTTCTGGAATACTTTGCACAGAAATCTCTTTGATAGAGTCACCAGGCAATATAAGAAGTAAGGAACTGATGCACTTCTTCATCAGAACCCATTTTTATTGACCCTTTATTGAAAAAAACCATGAAATGACTTAAAGTTTAATAATACTCTAAAGCCAACTCAATAGTTAATTTTCATTTAAAGCAAAGCAAAATAATACAGACCAAGGATGTGATTTATATTGCGCAAATAAAATGCATTACCTACTTAAATGTGCAAGATACATGCTTTATATAGAACAATCGTCAAAGTTTTTCTATACCTTAAAGTGTATCTATAGGAAAAATCTATTTTTTAGTTTTAGATGGGAGAAATGGAAAGTTTAGAATTTCTGTCGGGTTTTAATTGCTGGTTACCCTTGGGGAAGATTCATACTCTATATTTATCCTGCTGACTATTGCCTTTGGGACATGAATTTTAGAAAATCCAAAATATTATGGTTGTCACCACAACAGGGGTTTACTGAAAGTCTTCCAATGGGAACACCTACAGTATTTCAGTGACATCTGTCAAACTTCCTTTTACTGTCTCTGGGACAGGAAGTGAATGAAAATCTCAACTAGACATAGGCAGCAACAACCACAAAAACCTGAAGAGGTCTTTAACTTACTTAAACAATATGTAAACCCAGTATATCATATTCCTGATAAGTGCCTGCTGTACCATGTACTTGTATGAAAAGGTATCACGTAGATCTGGTCCCATTGATATCCATTCCCATTTCGAGACATAATTTAAAAGATGGTGTTCTTTTGGCTGTTAGGAGATTGTAAAGGAGAGAGATCAGACCCACTGAGTGGGAGTCATTTTTGCATATGGATTCAAAGGGTGTTAAGGTCAAGAGTCCACCATCTAAATGTACCGTAGAAAGGACATCGCATTTTACTTGTAGATATCTGAATAACTCAGATTGTGGGAGATGTTGTGAGCATTGTAGGTCTGCAAAAGTCTTAAAGCCTCTCGGGGTCAACAGAGTGGAAACAGGTCACCTTTGAGGCAATCCAGCTACGAAAAGTTCCAGGAGAAGCAGAGCCAGGATGAAAGTAAGGATTATGGATGACTGAGAAGAGTGGGGGATAGGGGGACAAAAGGCTGCCAGAGTATTTCTTACTATTCCAAAAGGTGTAGGGATTGTTGCATAATTGGGTTTGTCAAGTCCTGCCTGTCACGAGGAAAGCCATAGGAAATATTATGGCTGGATAGCAGTGCAAAATCATGGGCCTCAACATCTACCTACAGTGGGATCTCTTGACTAGCGTGTTAATTGGATCAGTTGGGCCGCATTGTAGTATCCCACAAAGCAAGGAATTCCTAGAACACAATTAGTTCTGGTTTGATATAGCATCTGACTAGAAATGCAGTTTTTTGCTGCCCCAGATAAAGCACATCAAGCGTGTATGTACTGACAATGTTTAATGATACTTTAGGTGGCCATACACGAGTAGAATTTACACTGATCAGCCATAACATTACGGCTACCCACCATAACTGGTCGAGGCATGGACTCCACTAGACCCCTGGAGGTAAGCTGTGGCATCTGGCACCAAGCCGTCAGTAGCAGATCCTTCAAATCATGCAAGTTGCAAGGTGGGGCCTCCATGGATCAGACTTGTTTTTCCAGTACATCCAACAGCTGTTCGGTTGGACTGAGATCTGCAGCATTTAGAGTCAACACCTCAAACTCATTGTGTTCCTCAAACCTCTCGAATTTTTTTTTTTTTATAATCTATTTATAAGTTTCCAAGTACAAAGCAATAATAAGAAGAAAAAAATATAATAGGGCACATAAAAGGGAGTTGACATACCCGCAGCATCAATTACAATATGTAGTTCAGCACCCATGAAATTCACATTCCAACAAGTATAAAAGTTAAGTGCATCATTTATAACATACTTGGGGTACACACAAGGGAACTACCAGTCCCCAGGGATACGCCATTGCATACCCAAGAGCTTTAATGGAGTGCCCCAAACAAAACAAAAATTAAATAGAGAGAAAACACACACGAATAAACCAAAAAGGGTACAAATGACCTGTCTTAGCTCACATGCCCATTGTATGTGCTTTTGGCTGTGGACACTGGTTAGCATGGGCACCCCGACTTGTCTGTGGCTACGGAACCCCATACACAACAAAATGTGATGCACTGTGTATTCTGTTTTTATTCATTTTCCAAAGGGAAATAATTACAAGGTTCAGAACCAGTCATATCACAGCATCATGGGTCAATCAAGGCAAAGAGGTAGCCAATATATTAGTGTACAAAGGACATTAAAAACATCTGAGGATACAGCACACAAATCATTTGCATAACTTTCAAGAAAAGGGTGAGCAGAAATAGCCATCGTTTGGAAAAACAAGTCTGATAATACTCAAAAGAAAATATTGTCGCTCTCCACTAATAAACATAACAAAATATATATATAATCTCCAAAACTTATGTCTCTTCCAAAATTTGTATATCGCTTCCAAAAAAATTATTAAAATTAAAAAACGCACATGTGCGACTTTTCAAACAGGAAATTTCTCTTCCAAATGAGTGGGGACACAAGATTTCTGTGTCCTCAAAATAAGCCAGGAAGTGCTGGTTGCTAAGTGGTTTCTGAATTTTTTAAAGTTCTTTAGGATTCCAACCTAAAAAAGGACCGTTTAGGGGAGGGGGCTCTGACGTCACAATGCTCATGCGGAAGGAGACAGATACTAGCAAGTATATACTACTGAAACACTAGCGAATGTGTGGAGTATTTTAACAGGGCTTTTTACAGCATTTACATGTGAGTGCATTATAGTGTACTAATAAATGTTTTAAAAGAGGATAAGGCACTATGTTCTGATTATTTCTTATGGTACACAGACCAATGGATGAAGATCACCAAAGAAGTGTTCATATTTACCAGGTGAGAGCACAACTGTTGAAGGCGCACGTATGGTTGCTATGACAACACATTAGAGGTGAACCAAGGACTAGTCGATATGTCCACAATACTTTGAAGGAGTGTATGGTCATGGATGAACTATGGACACTATGTTTTAACTTTAATAATTTAAAAAAAAAGAGATATACAAATTTTGGAAGAGACTTATAAGTTTTGGAGATTATATTTTTTTTATATGTTATTGTATTTGTATATTGATGACACATTTGTATGGGTATGTATATGGTGTAAGCAATCTATTGATTGAATTATTTTCACCTTTTGGCACTTTTAACTGTATAGGTTGCCACAGCAGCTTGCAAGATTTTATTTATAAGTTTGATAATATTACACATTTGGACTAGAGAGAAATAACATACTGCATAAGTACAGTTGTGCGCAAAAGACTTCCCAAGGTATAATAACCAGCATCAAGTATCAACCAGAGGTACTTTGGAACTGAAGTACTGTTCAATCCAAACCTAGTATCTTTAATTCTATATCAAGACTAAAATAATTTTAAAAATTTGTGGAGAAAAAAAAAAAAAAAGAAAAGGAGGAGAGTAAAAGAAAAGGTAGTAAAAGGAAAAGAGTTTGCCTGTCCAGGAATAGTACGCCCATCAGTTACATATCCATCAAGCATCTAGCACCTGTAAGTAAGAAACTCAGTCTCCAGACCTTGTCGAAGGAGTGTTTGTTTATCCTTCAAACACTAACAACCTTTTCATTGAACATAATCCAGGATAACTTGCACTTCAGAAAAGCCAGGTCTACCACAGGGTTCCTCCAAGCTGTTGTGATCTTTATTTTAACTACCAAGAACATAAAGTGTGTTTCTTGGGATATCATCCACTGCTTTATTCAACAAAGCAATCTGAGTGTCCTTAGTGATATTGGCTAAGGTGATTGAATGTATCAATGAATGGACATGTATCCAAAAGTGATCTGACCTTAGGGCAGGTCCACCATTTGTGAGTTGTTCCCACCTGTCCACAACCTTTAAAGCAGACGGATGAGGAGCCTGGAGGACAAGTTGGAGAAGTGCTCTGGCACTAAATACCATCTAGAGTAGACTTTATAGCCTGCCTCAATCAAAGCAACAGTCATGATGCCCTTGTAAATACAGGCATTCCAGTCTCGCCACTCCTCACCATGAGGTTCTATGCAAAGGTCTTTTTCCCATGCTAATTGGATAGGACAGTTTGGCGGATGGGGTAATAAATAGTTTGTACA